ATCTAATCTCACCACAACCTCATGAAAAATGTGCTGGCCTCATTGGAGATCTCAGGAGACTTCATGTAACTTGCAAGAGCTCTGATTTTTGTCAACTTATAGGAGACTGGGAGGAGCTCTTGAAAAAATTTGAGAGCCCTCTTTTTTCCGACATCCTATCCAACATCTATCCTATCTATCTATCCTATCCTATTCAACATCTTCATCAATGATTTGGACGAGGGGATAGATGGGGAACTCATCAAATTTGCAAATGACACCAAGCTGGCAGGAATAGCCAACACTCCAGAAGACAGGCTTAGAATACAGGAGGATCTGGACAGACTTGAACACTGGGCACTATCTAACAAAATGAAATTCAATGGTGAAAAAAGTAAGGTTCTACATTTAGGCAAGAAAAACCAAATGTACAGGTATAGTATAGGGGGTACCTTGCTCAATAGTAGTAACTGTGAGAGGGACCTCGGAGTCCCAGTGGACAATCACCTAAATATGAGCCAGCAGTGTGCTGCAGCTGCCAAAAAGGCCAACACAGTGCTGGGCTGCATTAACAGAGGGAGAGAATCAAGATCACGTGAAGTATTAATACCACTTTACAATGCCTTGGTAAGGCCACACTTGGAATACTGCATCCAGTTTTGGTCACCACGATGTAAAAAAGATGTTGAGACTCTAGAAAGAGTGCAGAGAAGAGCAACAAAGATGATTAGGGGACTGGAGGCTAAAGCATATAAGGAACGGTTGCTGGAATTGGGTATGTCTAGTTTANTCCAGCCTGCAGCCTTTTTCTGTTTTTCTTATCCCAAATAAAATCACACTTCAGTGTAGATTCAGGCATCTCTCCTTCTGTTCACCAATATTCAAAGCTGCCAATGCCTATTAATTCCAGTCAGTATCTTTTATAATCAGGGCCTGAAGAGTGAATGCAAGCTGTTGAATTGCTAAAATACACAAGTGAGAGAAAAGGAGTATTCTGAGATTTTTTTTCCATATGGCAAGATATTCCTTGGCATTAAGTTTTCAGAGCAGCCTAGCCAAATTCTGGCCAGCATCTACTGCAAGACTCAAAGTTAACAATTGGAATTGTCTTCTTATAAACAGGGACTGAATTGGTGAGATTCTACTATTAGCTTATGATTAGATTAGCTCCTGCAGCATGTTCAGATCTTAATCTGAAGACTCAATCAATCAAACCATGAAGACTCAATCAATCAATCTGAAGACTTGACAGAGACAGGTCCCATCTTGTTACAAACTGGATGATGCTGAACATGTACAGAGGGATTCCGATAGCTTCATGGGTATATCTATCCAGGATTTGGTTCATCCTACAAGAGAAGTATGTTCTTCTTGACTTTATGTTGGGTTTTTCTCGTTTTATTTTATTTTTTGCATTCCCTGCTGTACTTGGCAATCCTCTCACTTCCATAATGTCCTCTTTTGACAGCAAATTCAGTCTTTGGCATAATCAAAAGAACAGCCTGAAAGGTATTATCAGGACAGCAAGTTGCTTTTCCAATGAGGCTGTTTCTACGGAAACCACCGTTTCTAATTATGGTGGGCCTTTCTGACAGCCTCTGCAAAATGACACATCACTTTGGAGGTGTGCATCATGCTGCACACATTCTCGGCATCTTCTCTCGTTAGTGCTCAATTACGAGTGTCCACAACAATTTTTGGGCGAGGCTCTTGATATGATGATGATGATGATGATGCTATTTGTACAAATATTTCCTGATAGAACTTTAGCTGTACCTGCTAAATATGTAAATTGAAGTAGCTCTCCATGCATTACAACCAGAAGCCTGAGGCAAAGGGATCAAATGGGAATATGGGCTAAATGTGCTAGGAAATTCCAAATTCCAGTAAAAAAAAACACAGTAAATATGTCAACTTGGCTTTAAATCCCATGAGTTCGTTGCAGTTTGCTTGGAACTAAATGGCTGAAAGAGTATATTCTGAAATCAAACTTATACGAGCATAAATTCCTTGAGCAAATCCATCCCACTGTCTTAAAAAAAAGGATCTTTCTGAGCTGAAAAAGCAGACACAGAATCCAAGCAAATATGGAAATTTTCCTATGCAAAGCAGTCATTCTTTTGGTCTTCCATCTTTGCCATTCATTTAGCAAGTCATTTTTTGTAATCATTCTTACCTAAATCAGATATTAAAATGTATAAGCAATTACAAAAATAAAGAAGATTAATTGCAAAAGCAATTATAATAGAGCAGCTGGGTGAACAATTACTGAATCTTGCATAATTAGATCAGTAGCTCACAGCAACTGCAAATAAATCAGATTTTTTTTCAGGCCCCAGCCTTTCTCTTCTGGATTGGTGCAATGGGTCCCAAGTTACAATAATTCTTCTGCATTTTGTAGCCTTCTGACTTGGGCAACTAATCAAACCATAATTGGCTATTTACCTGACAAGCCAAGCAGATTATTGGAGCTGCACAGCACTACCACAATTTGATTTATTATCCTGTATGTGGAGGCATG